TAAAAATGATGTAAACTCACATTGAGTGGTGCTCTGTATCTTTGCACCAGTAGACACAGGCTATTCCCACTGTTGTTGCCGCCGCTCCACTCACTAGAGCTGGAATGCTTTCCAATGACCAGAACCAGAAGTGACGTAACAGTGTATCCAGATATGATGAACATGGTATAGCCTCTACATGATTCGCTATCACGGCATCCTCAGGAGCTTCCCGAGGATGTCGTGATGGAAAACATGTAAAGGTGTTTTAGATACAGAACAGAGAGCAGATTTAGATACAGTAACACATTGAAGCCAAACTCCAGTTCACACTGCAGTTATATAAGCAGGTACAGCAACATTTGTTTTTCTTTTGGGAAAAAGGTTTAACATAAATAAATCAAAGCTGATCATTGTAAGCACCCATTAGTGGTAAATAGTTTTTCTCAACTTTCAAACTGCTTAATCTGCAGGACAGTTTATTCTTTTAAAAAACAACAGACATATTGGCTGGATCTCCAGATGAAAATAAAAAGAAAGAAAGCCTGAACAAGAAAACCATCACATCTAAGAATTGGTAAGCTTCAATATTAATAATGTTTGCTTTTGGGTTTAATACCACTTTGAAAATCCTGCCATGCTCTCCCATGTTTTTATGTTTAGATGGTTGCTGGGGAGTAATGTTTATCATAATTTACCTTGTTTGTTCTATGTTCACAGTTCTTCACTATTATTTGTTAACTTGATTTGAACACTATCTGCCCTAAGAAAGGGATTACAAAATGTATAAACTGCCCTCCAACTTTGTATGTTATTGAGGGATAGCTCAGTCTATGGGGGAACAATGTTATAAACAAAGAACAGTGTAGCACAACCAAATCAAAAATCAAATAACACATAAATCAATAAATAAAGTGTCCGTGGATCAAATCCAACACAAATTTCATAAGTGTCTAAAATCCAATCACCAATGAGTGATGAATATCTTCTTAAAATAACACCTGTGTGTCAACCACCTCCACCAAAAGGAAGATTGGCTGCTCACCTCCAGCATCTGATCTCTGAGCTAACAGTAGGTCATAAGAGCTTTCCCGTTCAAATGCTTCTCCTCTGTTCACATAAAGTCTTTCCAAGGCTTTGTAATTTATTTAAAGCTCCTCCGTGGTTGATGGCAAGTTAAGTGGGATTTGATCAAGGAGATTTCAATCCAAGTACAGGAATTTTAGATTTTTTAGGACCTGAGAACACCTGCTGATAAACATAATAGAGGAGGAACATTCTCCATCCATAGTCATATTCAGCATGAAACATAACATGTAAGCCCACGAGACTTCCCTGTGGGCATCAGAGGTAGCCCTGGTATCAAACCAAACAAAATATAGTGGAACAAACCTGGGAGTGAATGAAGCCAAGGAGAGTACAGGCCACCCAGAAAGGGTAATCAATCGAAAACAGAAAGAAAACAAAGGCAAGAGAAGAAAAGATAGAGGATCTAGGACTGTCAGAGATACCAGTCAGCCCATACTTGCCAAACGAAGATCAGCAAAGGCATACGACCACTGCGGTTTCCAAATCTTCAGAAATTTGTCATGGGAGTTATTGAGAATACTGGATGTATGTTCATTAAGCATCAGGACCATCAAACAGTCCTTTACTCCCTGAAAGGGGACTGTAGGCTTCTTCCATGCCTAAGCAATCATCCTCTTGGCTGCCATAAACAGATAGGATGTCAATTTTTGCTGACAAGCAAGTAGACCCAGTACTGGGCAATGTAACAAGGCAAATTTTGCTTCCTTGGTGGAATGGATGGTCAAGTGGAACAGTGAATACAGAAGGCCAAACACATAAGACCAAAAGCCCACCAGTCATGGGCGTGTCCACCAGGTATGTAAGATATCCCCACCACACCCACATCAGGTACTTAAGACATCCTCACCACACCCACATCCACAAAAACAGCAGTCTTTAGAGGTTAGGTTAGTGTGGGCAGTGCAAGCAGGGACTCAGTACCACGGCAGCAACACTTTGTTGCCTCTAGGGTGGCAGTGTTGAATGAACATTTCGCGAAAAAAGACCAAGCTTTGCTCCAGTCCGCCATGTCAGTCTCAAATCCCAGGTCTCGTTCAGACTGGACCACATAGGAGAGAGAAGCATGAGATGATCAATTATTCAGAGATGCATAACGTGAGGAGATGGGACCCGGGGTGCCCGGATAAGGTGAGGTGAGTTGAAGGGAAGATATCCAGTGCTGGAGTTGGATAAATCGGAAATATTCCACCTGGGGAGCATCATGGGATTTACAGAAGGCCACCCACGTCGCAGGGGTTGAAGAAGTCAAGAAGTGGCGCACTTGTGTAAGACCACAAGAGATCCACCAGGGGAAGGCCCGGGGCTGGTCAAGGCGAAAGGGAAACAGTGGGTTAATAATAATAGGTAGCAAAGGAAGAATGGAAAGGAGACATGAGGGAGCGTGAAAAACTCGCCAAGTCCCAAAGGCGCAAGTTATGTAGCATAAGGGGGCTTAAAGCTTCCGAGGAAGCGATAAAAGTGTTTGGATTGAAGCGGAACACAGTTAGGAAGCTCCATAAGCACCCATAGGGATACATTAGAAGAAACATGGAGCCAGGTCAATGGGGAGATTTGGGCAGCCAAGTAGTGTTTGGAAATATGGGGGACCCCCAATCCCCCTTGTAACCTATGTATGAAACGGGTAGCCTTGGGGACTCTGGGGCATTTATCAGCCCAAATAAAGCATAGAATTCTACTCTGGATCAGGTGGAGGAAATGTGGAGGTACCCATTCAGGCAGGGTGCGGAAATAGTACAGGAGCTTAGGTAAAACAGTCATCTTCACTGAACTGATGCAACCTATCCAAGACAAATACGGGCACCGCCATGACTGCATAAGGGACGTCAATGAGTGGAGCAAAGGATAATAATTGGATAATAATTGGCTGAGAACAGAGAGGAATAGATGGGGGTCAGTCAAATACCCAGGTAGATGAGGTCGCCCAGCAAAATAGGAAGTAGGGTTTTAGGTGAGTAAGCAACACCTGGTCCAGAGTGACTTCCAAGGCCATAGGCTTGGCTAGATTAACCGGTATGCCCGAAATAGAATAAAATGCATCAAAAGGTGTAACGAATTAAGCAAGTGGGTTGGTCAGTGTCAGAAGGGCATCATCTGCAAACAGGGTCACTTTGAAATCATGGCCTGCATAAAGGATCCCAGTGATATTTTGGTCTGCATGAAGCGCGATTGCCAAAAGCTCCAGTGCCAAATGACATAATGCTGGGGACAGGGGGCAACCTTGTCTCATGCCTCTATAGATGGGGAAAGGTTCTGAATGGTACCCGGAGTATTAACCAACACTGTGAGTGTAGAGTATAAGGCTCTGATGCAGGTTAGCAGAGCATCTCTAAAACTCCAAGGAGAAAGTACAAATTGCAAGTATTTCCAAAATAATGAGTCAAATGCCTTATAAATATCCAAGGAGAGGAGGAGGAAGCGAGGGATCTTCCGGTGATGTGGGGAAATGAATGAGATGTACAACTTTGTGAACATTGCCACCAGCCTGCCTACCAGGCACAAAGCTAACTTGGTCTCTATGTATTAAATGATACATGTATTTGTTGATGCAAAAACTCAGGATCTTCCCCAGAATTTTCAAGTTGTTGTTAAGAAGAGAATCGTCCACAAAGCTTGAGGATCGTTTGCGTCTTCCAGCATTTTAGGAATCATTGAGATATGAGCCCTGAGGGTGTCAGAAGAAGGCATCGATCCAGTTTTCAGAGCATTAAAAAAAATGAGCTAAGTGGAGTGCTAGGAGGGCAGAGAATGTCTTGTAATAAAGACCCGAAAACCCGTCAGGACCCAGGACTTTGGAAGGCTTCAAGGACTTGATAGCCCAGGGAACTTCGGCTTCTGAGATACTGGCATTTAGGGCATCCTGGGATTTGTCTGGAAGCGTAGGGAGATGTATCTCTTGAAAGAACTGTTTGGCCTGATCAAGGTTTAGCATAGAGTGAAGATAAAAATGCAGAGAAGACTGACAGGATTTGTGGAGGGTTAGAACTGAGAGCATGCGTCCAAAGTCCACTAGATGTCAGTATATGCACTCTAATCCTCCAAAAATGTCTCATGGTGTAGTAGTTTTAATTAGAGCCTATGACAAAAATGGAAACCACCAGCAGTGTGAGGAGACCTGAAAGTGGCACATGACACAGAGTGTGGCGATGGAGACAGCAGCAATGGGAGGCCGTACAGGGACCCCATGACACACTCTGGACCCTGGCAAGCAGCATGAGGAGGCGGTACAGGGGCCCATGACAGATTACGGGCCTGGCAGCAGCATGAGTGGAGTTTGGTATCGGGGGCCCATGGCAGATTACGAGCCTGGCAGCAGCCAATGGGAGGCCGTACAGGGACCCATGACACACTCTGGACCTGGCAGCAGCATGAGGAGGCGGGACAGGGGCCCATGACAGATTACGGGCATCTGTGCAGCTGCATGAGGAGTCGGTACGGGGGCCCATGACACACTCTGGACCTGGGCAGCAGCATGAGGAGCGCGGTACAGGGGCGCATGTGACAGATTACGAGCCTGGCAGCAGCAACTTGGACAGGAGGACGTTCAGCTTCCTGCACCGTCGGGTGCGTGCTCGCAAACTGTTGTCCTTGGAAACGGATTCCAAGAAAGACTGCTGACGGAATCCGTGAAGAGGAGTAGCAGGAGAAGGAGCAACTGAACGAGCGGAATATGCCAACAAGCGACAACAGGGGCCCATGACAGATTACGGGCCTGTCAGCAGCATGAGGCGAGTACGGTACGGGGGGCCCATGGCAGATTACGGGCCTGGCAGCAGCAATGGGAGGCCCGTAATCTGCCAGCACCCTATGACAAAAAATGGACACACACCAGCAGTGTGTGAGGAGACCTGAAAGTGGCACATGGCAGAGTGTGGCGATGGAGACAGCAGGCAATGGGAGGCCATACAGGGACCCATGAGAGACTCTGGACCTGGCAGCAGCATGAGGAGCGGTACAGGGGCCCATGGCAGGATTAGGGGCCTGGCAGCAGCTATGGGAGGCCCGTAATCTGCCAGCACCCTATGACAAAAAATGGAACCCCCAGCAGTGTGAGGGAGACCTGAAAGTGGCACATTGGCAGAGTGTGGCGATGGAGACGCAGCTAATGGGAGGCGTACAGGGACCCATGAGGAGACTCTGGACAGCTGGCAGCAGCATGAGGAGGCGGTATAGGGGCCCATGGCAGATTAGGGGCCCTGGCAGCAGCTATGGGGGAGGCCCGTAAATCTGCCAGGCACCCTATGACAAAAAATGGAACACACCAACAGTGTGAGGAGACCTTGAAAGTGGTACATGGCAGAGTGTGGCGATGGAGACGCAGCAATGGGAGGCCGGCTTACAGGGACCCATTGAGAGACTCTGGACTTGGCAGCAGCATGAGGAGGCGGTATAGGGGCCCATGCAGTTTAGGGCCTGGCAGCAGCTATGGAGGCCCGTACCCGTAATCTGCCAGCACCCTATGACAAAAAATGTAACACACCAGCTAGTGTGAGGAGACCTGAAAGTGGCACATGGCATGAGACACTGTGGACCTCGAGCAGCAGCATGAGGAGGCGTTACAGGGGCCCATGGCAGATTAGGGGCCTGGCAGCAGCTATGGGAGGCCCGTAATCTGCCAGCAGCACCCTATGACAAAAAATGTAAACACACACCAGCATGTGGTGAGGGAGACCTGAAAGTGGCACATGGCAGAGTGTGGCGATGGAGACAGCAGCAATGGGAGGCCGTACGGGGACCCATGAGAGACTCTGGACCTGGCAAAGCAGCATGAGGAGGCGGGTATAGGGGCCCATGGCAGATTAGGGGCCTGGCAAGCAGCTATGGGAGGCCCGTAATCTGCCAGCACCCTATGACAAAAATGGAACACACCAGCAGTGTGAGGAGACCTGAAAGTGGCACATTGGGAAGCAGAGTTGTGGCGAGGGAGACAACAGCAATGGGAGGCCGTACAAGGGACCCATGAGAGACTCTGGACCTGGCAGCAGCATGAGGAGTGCGGTACAGGGGCCCATGGCAGATTAGGGGCCTGGAGCAGCTATGGGAGGCCCGTAATCTGCCAGCACCTATGACAAAAAATGGAACACACCAGCAGTGTGAGGAGACCTGAAAGTGGCACGTGGCAGAGTGTGGCGATGGAGACAGCAGCAATGGGAGGCCGTACAGGGACCCATGAGACTCTGGACCTGGCAGCAGCATGAGGAGGCGGTAAGGGGCCCATGGCAGATTAGGGGCCTGGCAGCAGCTATGGGAGGCCCGTAATCTGCCAGCACCCTATGACAAAAAATGGAACACACCAGCAGTGTGAGGAGACTGAAAAAAGGGGCACATGGCAGAGGTGTGGTGATGGAGACAGCAGCAATGGGAAGCCGTACAGGGACCCATGAGAGACTCTGGACCTGGCAGCAGCATGAGGAGGCGGTATAGGGGCCCATGGCAGATTAGGGGCCTGGCAGCAGCTATGGGAGGCCCGTAATCTGCCAGCACCTATACAACAAAAATGTAACACACCAGCAGTGTGAGGAGACCTCTCTGAAAGTGGCACATGCAGAGTGTGGCGATGGAGACAGCAGCAATGAGATGCGGCCGTACAGGGACCCATGAGAGACTTGGACCTGGCAGCAGCATGAGGAGGCATGGGGTATAGGGGCCATGGCAGACTTTAGGGGCCTGGCAGCCAGCTATGGGAGGCCCGTAATCTGCCAGCCACCCTTGACAAAAAATGTAACACACCACAGTGTGAGGAGACCTGAAAGTGGCACATGGCAGAGTGTGGCGATGGAGACAGCGGCAATGGGAGCGACAGGCCGTTACAGGGACCCATGAGAGACTCTGGACCTGGCAGCAGCATGAGGAGGCGGTATAGGGGCCCATGGCAGATAAGGGCCTGGCAGCAGCTATGGGAGGCCCGTTAATATGCCAGCACCCTATGACAAAAAATGGAACACACCAGCAGTGTGAGGAGACCTTGAAAGTGGCACATGGCATGAGACACTGTGGACCTGGCAGCAGCAGTTGAGGAGGCGGTATAGGGGCCCATGGCAGATTAGTGGGGCTAGGCAGCAGCTATGGGAGGCCCGTAATCTGCCAGCACCCTATGACAAAAAATGGAACACACCAGCAGTGTGAGGAGACCTGAAAGTGGCACATTGGCATGTGGAGACACGTGGTACAGGAACCTGGCCTCGCTGGCATGAGGAGGGCGGTATAGGGGCCCATGGCAGATTAGGGGCCTGGCAGCAGCTATGGGAGGCCCGTAATCTGCCAGCACCCTATGACAAAAAATGGCAACACACCAGCAGTGTGAGGAGACTGAAAGTGGCACATGGCAGAGTGTGGCGATGGAGACGCAGCAATGGAGGCCGTACAGGAACCCATGAGAGACTCTGGACCTGGCAGCAGCATGTGGAGGCGGTATAGGGGCCCCATGGCAGATTAGGGGCTGGCAGCAGCAATGGGAGGCCCGTAATCTGCCAGCACCCTATGACAAAAAATGTAACACACCAGCAGTGTGAGGAGACCTGAAAGTGGCACATGGCGAGAGTGTGGCGATGGAGACAGCAGCAATGGGAGGCGGTACAGGGGACCCATGAGAGACTCTGGACCTGGCAGCAGCATGAGGAGGCGGTATATAGGGGCCCATGGCAGATTAGGGGCCTGGCAGCAGCTATGGGAGGGCCCGTAATCTGCCAGCAAACCCTATGACAAAAAATTGGAACACACCAGCAGTGTGTGAGGAGACCTGAAAGTGGCACATGGCAGAGTGTGGCGATGGAGTCAGCAGCAATGGGAGGCCGTACAGGGACCCATGAGAGACTCTGGACCTGGCAGCAGCATGAGGGAGGCGGAATAGGGGCCCATGGCAGATTAGGGGCCTGGCAGCAGCTATGGGAGGCCTTAATCTGCCAGCACCCTATGACAAAAATGGTAACACCAGCAGTGTGAGGAGACCTGAAAGTGGCACATGGCAGAGTGTGGCGATGGAGACAGCAGCAATGGGAGGCCGTACAGGGACCCATGAGAGACTGGAGCCTGGCAGCAGCATGAGGAGGCGGTATAGGGGGCCCATGGCAGATTAGGGGCCTGGCAGCAGCTATGGGAGGCCCGTAATCTGCCAGCACCCTATGACAAAAAAATGGAACACAACCAGCAGTGTGAGGAGACCTGAAAGTGGCACATGGCAGAGTGTGGCGATGGAGACACAGCAATGGGAGGCCGTACAGGGACCCATGAGAGACTCTGGACCCTGGCAGCAGCATGAGGAGGCGGTATAGGGGCCCATGGCAGATTAGGGGGCACCCTGGCAGCAGCTATGGGAGGGCCCGTAATCTGCCAGCACCCTATGACAAAAAATGTAACACACAGCAGTGTGAGGAGACCTGAAAGTGGCACATGGCAGAGTGTGGCGATGGAGACAGCAGCAATGGGAGGCCGTACAGGGACCCATGAGAGACTCTGGACCTGGCAGCAGCATGAGGAGGCGGTATAGGGGCCCATGGATTAGGGGCCTGGCAGCAGCTATGGGAGGCCGTAATCTGCCAGCACCCTATGACAAAAAATGGAACACACCAGCAGTGTGAGGAGACCTGAAAGTGGCACATGGCAGATGTGTGGCGATGGAGACAGCAGCAATGGGAGGCCGTACAGGGGACCCATGAGAGACTCTGGACCTGGCAGCAGCATGAGGAGGCGGTATAGGGGCCCATGGCAGATTAGGGGCCTGGCAGCAGCTATGGGAGGCCGTAATCTGCCAGCACCTATGACAAAAAATGGAACACACCAGCAGTGTGTGAGGAGACCTGAAAGTGGCACATGGCAGAGTGTGGGCGATGGAGACAGCAGCAATGGGAGGCCGTACAGGGACCCATGAGAGACTCTGGACTTGGCAGCAGCATGAGGAGGCGCGGTATAGGGGCCCATGGCAGATTAGGGGCCTGGCAGCAGCTATGGGAGTCCCCGTAATCTGCCAGCACCCTATGACAAAAAATTGGAACACACAGCAGTGTGATGGAGACCTGAAAGTGGCACATGGCATGAGACACTTGGACCTGGCAGCAGCATGAGGAGGCCTGGTACAAGGGGCCCATGGCAGATTAGGGGCCTGGCAGCACTAGGGAGGCCCGTAATCTGCCAGCACCCTATGACAAAAAATGGAACACACCAACAGTGTGAGAGGAGACCTGAAAAGTGGCACATGGCAGAGTGTGGCGATGGAAGACAGCAGCAATGGGAGGCCGTACAGGGACCCATGAGAGACTCTGGACCTGGCAGCAGCATGAGGAGGCGGTAAAGGGGCCCATGGCAGATTAGGGGCCTGGCAGCAGCAATGGGAGGCCCGTAATCTGCCAGCACCCTATGACAAAAAATGGAACACACCAGCAGTGTGAGGAGACCTGAAAGTGGCACATGGCAGAGTGTGGCGATGGAGACACAGCAATGGGAGGCCGTACAGGGACCCATGAGAGACTCTGGACCTGGCAGCAGCATGAGGAGGGCGGTATAGGGGCCCATGGCAGATTAGGGGCCTGGCAGCAGCTATGGGAGGCCCGTAATCTGCCAGCACCCTATGACAAAAATGGAACACACCCAGCAGTGTGAGGAGACCTGAAAGTGGCACATGGCAGAGTGGCGATGGAGACAGCAGCAATGGAGGCCGTACAGGGACCCATGAGAGACTCTGGACCTGGCAGCAGCATGAGGAGGCGGTATATAGGGGCCCATGGCAGATTAGGGGGCCTGGCAGCAGCTATGGGAGGCCCGTAATCTGCCAGCACCCTATGACAAAAAATGGAACACACCAGCAGTGTGTGAGGAGACCTGAAAGTGGCACATGGCAGAGTGTGGCGATGGAGACAGCAGCAATGGGAGGCCGTACAGGGACCCATGAGAGACTCTGGACCTGGCAGCAGCATGAGGAGGCGGTATAGGGGCCCATGGCAGATTAGGGGCCTGGCAGCAGCTATGGGAGGCCCGTAATCTGCCAGCACCCTATGACAAAAAATTGAAACACACCAGCAGTGTGAGGAGACCTGAAAGTGGCACATGGCAGAGTGTGGCGATGGAGACAGCAGCAATGGAGGCCGTACAGGGACCCATGAGAGACTCTTGGACCTGGCAGCAGCATGAGGAGGGGTATATAGGGGCCTATGGCAGATTAGGGGCCTGGCAGCAGCTATGGGAGGCCGTAATCTGCCACCGCACCCTATGACAAAAAAATGTAAACACCAGCAGAGTGTGAGGAGACCTGAAAGTGGCACATGGCAGAGTGTGGCGATGGAGACAGCAGCAATGGGAGGCCGGTACAGGGACCATGAGAGACTCTGGACCTGGCAGCAGCATGAGGAGGCGGTTATACAGGGGACCATGGCAGATTAGGGGCCTGGCAGCAGCTATGGGAGGCCCGTAATCTGCCAGCACCTATGACAAAAAATGGAACACACCAGCAGTGTGAGGAGACCTGAAAGTGGCACATGGCAGAGTGTGGCGATGGAGACAGCAGCAATGGGAGGCGTACAGGGACCCATGAGAGACTCTGGACTTGGCAGCAGCATGAGGAGGCGGTATTGGGGCCCATGGCAGATTAGGGGCCTGGCAGCAGCTATAGGAGGCCCGTAATCTGCCAGCACCCTATGACAAAAAATGGAACACAACAGCAGTGTGAGGGACCTGAAAGTGGCACATGGCATGAGACACTGTGGACGGCTGGCAGCAAGCATGGGAGGCGGTACAGGGACCCATGGGACTTAGGGGCCTGGCAGCAGCTATGAGGAGGCCCGTAATCTGCCAGCACCCTATGACAAAAAAATGGAACACACCCAACAGTGTGTGAGGAGACCTGAAAGTGGCACATGGCACCCTAGTGACCGGCGATGGATGACAGCAGCATTGGAGGCCGTAACAGGGACCATGAGAGACTGTGGACCTGGCAGCAGCATGAGGAGGAGGCGGTATAGGGGCCCATGGCAGATTAGGGGCCTGGCAGCAGCTATGGGAGGCCCGTAATCTGCAGCACCCTATGACAAAAAATGTGAACACACCAGCAGTGTGAGGAGACCTGAAAGTGGCACTGATGGCAGAGTGTGGCGATGGAGACGCAGCAATGGGAGGCCGTACAGGGACCCATGAGAGACTCTGGACTTGGCAGCAGCATGAGGAGGCGGTATAGGGCCACATGGCAGATTAGGGGCTGGCAGCAGCTATAGGAGGCCCGTAATCTGCCAGCCCCTATGACAAAAAATGGAACACAACAGCAGTGTGAGGAGACCTGTAAAGTGGCACATGGATGAGACACTGTGGACCTGGCAGCTAGCATTGAGGAGGCGGTACAGGGGCCCATGGCAGATTAGGGGCTGGCAGCAGCTATGGGAGGCCCGTAATCTGCCAGCACCCTATGACAAAAAATGGAACACACCAGCAGTGTGAGGAGACCTGAAAGTGGCACATGTTTGGGGCATGATTCATGGCGGATTTAGTCTGTTGTGTCAGGAACTGGTGGTTTGAAATCCAAGACTATCCACGCCTGATTCATTTTCACAAACGTGAGTCACTCCCACACTTTGGGTGGACAGTCGTGTCCTCCGCGGGTTACAATACCTCCTGCCGCACTAAACACGCGCTCCGATGCCACGCTACTGGCCTAGGGCATGACAGCCTTTCAAGGGCAAATTCAGCTAGTTGGGGCCAAAGGTCAAGTTTCGTTGCCCAGTAGTCAAGGGGATTGTCTACCTCGGTTGGCAGGGTGCTGTCCAAGTAGGCCCAAGCCTGTTGTTTGAGGTCCTGCTCCAGGTCCACCTGATGCTGCTGCTGCTGCTGCTGCTGAGGCTGGTTAGTAGTTTCCTCACTGCGCTGGTGAAGAAAGCTACTCATCATCGACTGCAGACTGAGGCAAGCCGCTGCTGGTGGAGCTGCCACTGCTCCTACCACCCCACCCCTCCCCTGCTGCCATGGCAGCGGAACGCGAGCGCACAGGGCCCACAGTGTTGAGGATGGACGTTGGCGCAGAAAGGCAGAGACCAACTGACTACATAGGTGGTTTTTTATAGTACGTTAATTTTGGCCTCCCTCTCAGCAGGTGTGAAAAAGGCCACCATTTTTTGAACGGTAGCGAGGGTCCAACAAGGTGGACAGCCCAAAAGTCATCCCTCTGTTCTGATGGTTATTATTCGGCTGTCGCTACGCAAGCAAACCGAGCATGCTATGGGCATTTGTGCCAAGGAATGCGAGGGGACTCCCTGCTCTCCATCTCCACAGCATACTGCCACGGTGCGTCTGGGTCCTCTGTCTCCTCCTCCTCCTCTACCAGATGCTCCTGCTCCTCCACTCCTGTCCGCTGAGTGGAAAAACCACCCATTTCACTCAATAATTCCTGAGCACAGAAAATGTCCTCTCTACCTCCTCTCTTCTCTGTCCTGCCCCCACAGGGGTCATGTGGCGTTGAGATCTGTGCGCACGTCTACCGCACCCTGACCAGCCATTGTTAACCAGCATTTGTTCCAGGATGTGCAACAGAGGAATGACGTCGTTCATCCCATAGTCTCCTGCCGACTCACGAATAGCGTGGCCTCCTCAAAGGGCCTGAGCAAGCGGCAGGTGTCACGCATGAGCTGCCAATGGCTGACATCTAAGTTACACAGGGGAGTACCTTTTTATCCGCTTGTAACTCAGGAAATCGGTGATGGCCATTTTTGCTGTTCGAAAGGCGGTCTAACATGTGTAGGCTTGAATTCCACCTTGTTGCAATGTCGCAGATCAGGCGATGCTGTGGAATTCCGTTTTGCCGCTGCAGCTCAAGGAGGGTGTGCTTTGCGGTGTAGGAATGGCTGAAATGCATGCAAAGTTTACGTGTCATTTTAAGGATGTCTTGCAGTGGGATTGTGGTAATTTTAGGAACCGCTTGACAACCAGAATTGAAACAGTGAGCCATGCATGGCGCATGGTACAACCTTCCTTGACGCAGAGCAGACACCATGTTCTTTTCCGTTGTCGGTCAACTATGGGTTCCGATTTTCAGTTTGCGCGGAGACAGCCATCTGTCGATTTCTCTGTTCCATTTACACACTGAGAAGTTCTCCTCCCTGTGTGACTACGTTCGCCAAGGCATACAGGTGCAGCACAGCGGGACACCGTTGCGCCCTGCACATGTGATATGCCAGTCGGGTAATGGGACTTGGTTTGGGGGGGTGGCGGCTGAGGGACACGGCGGAAGGAAGAAGATCTTTGGTGGTAGAGGCGGACATCTTTGCCTGTGGACCAAGGACGTGCAAACGTGGAGGCAAAAGCGGCGTGACCTGTCCAAGTTGCTGGTGCGGCCTGTGACGGCACCTACGTTCACCAGTGGGCCGTTTAAATGACATGTACTGTCCCTGACCGTAGTTACAGCTCCACACGTCGGCGCTGCCGTGCACTTTGGCAGAGACCGACATGCTCAAAGAGCTGGCCCACCATCTCTTCTACATGTGAATGCAGGGGCTGGCACTGCCTTTTTGGCGAAGAAATGACGGCTTGGCACTCTCCACCACGGCGCGGCACAAGCCATCATTTCTCGGAAAGGTGCTGAGTCCACCACTTGGAAAGGGAGGGACTGCAGCACCAGCAACTTGGACAGGAGGACGTTCAGCTTTTGCACCGTCGGGTGCGTGCTCGCAAACTGTTGTCTCTGGAAACGGATTCCAAGAAAGACTGCTGACGGAATCCCGTAAGAGGAGTAGCAGGAGAAGGAGCATCTGAACGGGCGGAAGATGCCAACGAGCGACAACTCCCCCTCAGCAGAGGTGTTGGAGCCTTGACTGGCTGATAGAGAGGGCGATTGACGTCGGGTGACGGGGAGCAAGTAACGGAGCGGGTGATGGAGCGGGGGCTGGGGCAGGCAGAAACCGCCGTATCTTTATCACGGTTTTCCCAGGCCACCAATGGCGACGCTGCATATGCTGCCGCAACGCTGTAGTCCCCCAACATGGGCCCCCTGGCACGCTTGACTTTCTGGCCACATAGTCGACATACGGCTACGTATTTCTTCCTCGGGCGGCTTGACCTGAAAAAAATTGCCACACCGCCGAGTAGGAACTTTGCCCCCGATACTCCTCACTGGCTGACTGCTGCTTCCTCCGTGCACAACCGGCACCACTATGGCCGTGGTGGTAGGCTGCAGTGGAGCTGGTGCTATACTCCATGGCGTTTGCCTCCACTGACACTGCTGCGACCCTGCTGCCTCCTGGGCAACCCCACCGACTGTTTGCTCGCTGCCAAGCTGCCACCCTCTTCTCCTGATTGATGCGGAAGCAATAGCCTGATGACGACGAGGCTGCCAAGTGCGATCAGCCTCATCATCATCAATTAGGGTCTCCGCCTCACTACTAGCCCCCTCGGCTGCGTGTGGGTCAGGAGACAGACCTGTCTCTAGACCGGGCTACACCGAGCCACTCTCCTCGCACACTACTTCTTCGCCTGGCTTGCTGAAGAGGCGGCGATGTCTCCCCCGTTCCTGACCGCCCTTGTTAGTGCTCTTCCTCACTGTACAGTGGGGGCTGAGCCCACAGCATCGATACTTCGCTTGGTGAGGGAACACCAAAGGTACAGGGGCAGGTCGAGGACACGTGATTTCAGTGGGCTTGCTCGACGGGCCATGCAACTAACGGTTGTGTCTGACGTACCCACCGACCGCTTGGCCTGTAGGTGTCAGAGGTGACCTGGGAAGAGGAAGTCGACCGAGCCAACCAATCGATGACGGCAGGGTTGTCGGTGGAGACACGACCGCCTGGATGACACCAGGAGCATGGCCTCTGGCTGCGACTAGGCTGCCTCGACCCCTTCTCTGCTGCCACGTCCTGCTCGCTCCTAAAACATTTGCCTCCTCTGCCACTCCTATGCATGTTGTCTGACATACTCTTTAATTAAACGATTCTGCTGTCCCTGAGTAAAAATTTCTGTGTCTCTGTCCTCTGAGTAACAATTTGTGTCCCTGAGTAACAATCTGTGTCCCTCATAACAATTCTGTGTCCCTCCGTAACAATTCTGTGTCCCTGAGTAACAATTCTGTGTCCTGAGTAACAATTCTGTGTCCCTCAGTAATAATTCTGTGTCTGTCCCTGAGTAACAATTCTGTGTCTGTCCGCATCTGAGTAACAAGTTCTGTGTCCCTCAGTAACAATTCTGGTGTCTGTCCCTAAGTAACAATTCTGTGGCCCTAAGTAACGTTTTGTGGCCCTAAGTAACGTTTCTGTGGCCCTAAGTAACGGATTGTGTCCTCAGTAACATTCTGTGTCTGTCCCTAAGTAACAATTCTGTGGCACTAAGTAACGTTTCTGTGGCCCTAAGTAAAGTTTCTGTGGCCCTAAGTAAAATGATTCTGTGGGCCTAAGTAACGTTTCTGTAGCCCAAGTAACGTTTCTGTGGCCCTAAGTAACGTTTCTGTGGCCCTAAGTTAACGTTTCTGTGTCCCTCAGTAACAATTCTGTATCCCTCAGTAAACATTTTCTGTGTCTGTCCCTGAGTAACAATTCTGTGTCCCTAAGTAACGTTTTCTGTGGCCCTAAGTAACGGTTTCTGTGGCCCTCAGTAACAAATCTGTGTCCCTCAGTGAACAATTCTGTGCTGTCCCTAAGTAACAAATTCTGTGGCCCTAAAGTAACGTCATTCTGTGGCCCTAGAGTAACGTGCTTCTGTGGCCCTAAGTAACGATTTCTGTGACGTCCTCAGTAACAATTCTGTGTCTGTCCCTAAGTAACAATTCTGTGTCTGTCCCTGAGTAACAATTCTGTGTCCCTAAGTAAATGTTTCGTGGCCCTAAGTAAACAGGTTCTGTGGCCCTCAGTAACAATTCTTGTCCCTCAGTAACAATTTCTGTGTCTGTCACTAAGTAACAATTCTGTGGCCCTAAGTAACGTTTCTGTGGCCCTAAGTAACAGTTCTGTGGCCGCTCCTCAGTAAACAATTCTTGTCCCTCAGTAACAATTCTGTGTCTGTCCCTAAGTAACAATTCTGTGGCCCTAAGTAACGTTTCTGTGGCCTGACAGTAACGTTTCTGTGGCCCTAAGTAACGATTCTGTGTCCTCAGTAACATTTCTGTGTCCCTCAGTACAATTCTGTGTATCTGTCCATGAGTAGACATTCTGGTGTCCCTAATAACGTTTCTGTGGCCCTAAGTAACAGTTCTGTGGTCCCTCAGTAACAATTCTGTGTCCCTCAGTAACAATTCTGTGTAGTCCCTAAGTAACAATTCTGTGGCCCTAAGTAACGTTTCTGTGGCCCTAAGTAACAGTTCTGTGGCCCTCAGTAACAATTCTTTGTCTGACTGCCTCAGTAACATTCTGTGTCTGTCCCTAGTAACAATTCTGTGGCCCTAAGTAACGTTTCTGTGGCCCTAAGTAACAGTTCTGTGGCCCTCAGGTAACAATTCTGTGTCCCTCAGTAACAATTCTGTGTCTGTCCCTAAGTAACAATTCTGTGGCCCTAAGTAACGTTTCTGTGGCCCTAAGTAACGTTTTCTATTGCCCTAAGTAACGTTTTCTGTGGCCCTAAGTAACGAGTGTTCTGTGTCCCTAAGTAAAACGTTTCTGTGTCCCTATTGTTAAAGTTTCTGTGGCCCTAAGTAACGTTTCTGTGTCCCTAAGTAACGTTTCTGTGGCCTATGTAACGTTTCTGTGTCCCTAACTAACGTTTCTATGTCCCTAAGTAACGTTTCTGTGTCCCTAACTCTCTCCCTGAATATCAGCCAGGTCTGCCTCTGTTGAATGACTGGAGGCAAATGGAGAATTCTAAAATGGCCGGCATTTATAGCTCGACCATTACACAGTGCTGGCTGGCTGCTGATTGGCTAATGCGATCACGTCATGAATGAATGCATTATGGGTCAGTGCGCCTTGTCTGCGCGCCTTCCCAGACATCCCCGCTCCGTCGCCGCACATGTCGCCGCCATTTCAGGAAAAATTTCGATTCGCTGCATCCGAAGTCTGCTTATTTTCGGATTCGGCGCGAATCAAAATTTTTCTAATATTCGAAGCGAATTCCACTTCGCCTACTTCGTTTCGCTCATCTCTAGTTTTAATAATAGAGCACACAAAGTACAGTGCAAGGTGGCCTTAGCACACTTGTAACAACAAAGGGTGAGATTCAGGTTTGCCATTACAATGGGATCCAGCAAGTTGTGCAGATTTTTTTAAACCATAATGCACTGCAAGGCTTTTGACTATATCCAGCAGCCTTAGATGGTTCAATAAGGGGGCTTTTGGATAAGCCATTCTCATAACTATAAAAGGGGGACACGAGCAGATATAGGGTTAGTGAATTGGAAGCTGTTGTAGGGAAAGCTGAGAAGCCGAATCAGGAGACATTATGGTAAGTTAGGAAATTGTACTTGAATTCTGACTGCTAGTTTTTGCTGGGCAATCAAACCCATTTACTGCCTTAATTGTTCTTATTGTTGGGGACATTTTTTTTGTCTTTTATGTTATTTTATACCATGGTTAATTTGTGTTTTGCATTCCTTTGTGCTTTTTGTTTTGTTTTATGTTGATAGGGCCTTTTATTTATGTTTGGGTGTCTAAAGAGTAGCATGCACCATCTGTTCTTTAAGCTGCCTTTTGTATGCAGAATGCTGTTACATAATTAGTTCAAGAACAATGTACACCTAAACTACCAAGAATTTTGATTATGACTACATTTTGGGATACTGACTCCTGGGCAATTACTGACATATTGATTGCTAACATCCCCCACACCTTCTATTTGATATTATTGCACCTAAACTACCTCACGTTATTCTATCCCTATAAATAGAAACAAATATAAGGCATAAAACATGTTTGGCTTATCCATTCTATGTTTTGTAGATGTGTCTTCTGCAGTTCTTACTTCTTGCAGTAAAAAACTTGCCTGTACTCTTTTTCTCTGCTATTTTTTGGCCAATTCTCACTCTCATCCCACTGCTGTATCATCTACGGTCTTTTAATTCTTAATAAGAGACCAATAGAAACTGGTCAGTGGCAGGACAGTTTTTCATAAGCAGAACAGAACAGAAACCAACAAACTACTGTCCAATTTATATCTGCCAGTGAAAGTGGGTCTACTATTATTTCATGAAAAAGCATGTGTTGCTGCTAAAGCTTCATGAGAAAAAGCTTTTTGAATCAGACTAGGGTGCTGCTGCTGTATGTAAGCTAAGCTACTTGTAAAAGAAAAAAATCTTTTAAAATAATAAGTTCACCTTTGCATTTTTAGGGTGGAACATGTAACATGTTCATGCTCATGCAGCCCCCCCCCCCCCCGATCCCACCCCTTCCGTGACAGGGGTCAGCTTCACCCACATAGCTGCCTCATTCATTTACAGAGCTCTGTGCGGCAAGCCCCCTGCACAAAGAGAGATTGACGTATATGTGGACCCCCGGATAAAGACCCACTTCCGTGAGGCTGCATAAATACATACGGTTGGTCGGAAGGGGTTAAAGTACATTTTTATTTAGGAAAAAAGCTTAATATTATCTACTTTTTGCCACAAAATATATTTTTTGTAATTTTTAAATGTTAAAGAGCATTGTAACCATGATCATTCATTACGGGTGCAATGCACAGGCTTTTGCAAACTCTTCCCCAGGTCCTATAAAGTTATGGACTTCAGTTATACGGCTGTTGGAAGATGCTGAACTACAAGCGCAGCGACTCCACTGTGCTTGAGCACCATTGAGATCCACAAGTTCCTCTGCCACAATGGGAGTTGGGATTTTTAGTCTTTCAATTCACAATTCCATGGGGGGAGCCACAGACAGCTATACTAAATTAAAGAAAATAGGATGCTCTAGAGCAGTGGTTCTCAACCTTTCTAATGCCGCGACCCCTTAATACAGTTCCTCATGTTGTGGTGACCCCCAACCATAAAATTATTTTCGTTGCTACTTCATAACTGTAATTTTGCAGTGGGAGGAGTAGTGCCACGTCATTGGTGTCAGTGGGAGGAATAGTGTCCCATCACTGATGTCAATGGGAGGAATAGTACCCCATCATTGGTATCAGTGGTAGGAATAGTGCCCCATCATTGGTGTCAGTGGTAGGAATAGTGCCCATCATTGGTGTCAGTGGGAGGAATAGTGCCCCATCATAGGTGTCAGTGGGAGGAATAGTGCCCCATCATTGGTGTCAGTGGGAGGAATAGTGCCCCATCACTGGTGTCAGTGGGAGGAATAGTGCCCCATCATTGGTGTCAGTGGGAGGAATAGTGCCCCATCATTGGTGTCAGTGGGGGGGAATAGTGCCCCATCATTGGTGTCAGTGGGAGGAATAGTGCCCCATCACTGGTGTCAGTGGGAGGAATAGTGTCCCATCACTGGTTTCAGTGGGAGGAATAGTGTCCCATCACTGGTGTCAGTGGGAGGAATAGTGCCCCAACACTGGTATCAGTGGGAGGAATAGTGCCCCAACACTGGTGTCAGTGGGAGGAATAGTGCCCCATCATTGGTATCAGTGGGAGGAATAGTGCCTCATCATTGGTATCAGTGGGAGGAATAGTGCCCCATCATTGGTGTCAGTGGGAGGAATAGTGCCCCAACACTGGTGTCAGTGGGAGGAATAGTGCCCCATCATTGGTATCAGTGGGAGGAATAGTGCCCCATCATTGGTGTCAGTGGGGGGAATAGTGCCCCATCATTGGTGTCAGTGGGAGGAATAGTGCCCCATCATAGGTGTCAGTGGGAGGAATAGTGCCCCATCATAGGTGTCAGTGGGGGGAATAGTGCCCCATCATTGGTGTCAGTGGGAGGAATAGTGCCCCATCATTGGTGTCAGTGGGGGGAATAGTGCCCCATCATTGGTGTCAGTGGGAGGAATAGTGCCCCATCATTGGTGTCAGTGGGGGGAGGAATAGTGCCCCATCGTTGGTGTCATTGGGGGGAGGAATAGTGCCCCATCGTTGGTGTCAGTGGGGGGAGGAATAGTGCCCCATCGTTGGTGTCAGTGGGGGGAGGAATAGTGCCCCATCATTGGTATTAGTGACACCAATTATGGGGCACTATTCCTCCCACTGACACCAATGATACTTACCTTGCTGACCCCTGCTCCAGCCTGGGCTCGCTCCCTCTCCCATGGTACAGACACTTACCGGTCAGATGTCTTCCTTCTCCGGCCGCTCTCCTCCTCTTCACTCACTCGATCTTCGCGGTGCCGCTCGGCTCCTCCTCTCCAAGCTCCACCTCCTCGCCGGTGATTGGCCGCCTGTGTGCCTCTCCTGAGCTACAGTTCCGGCGGCCAATCACCGGCGAAGGATTGATCCCGGGGATGTGTCCAGATGACAGGGACGGCATGTCATCCTGCCCACACCTGGAGATGGATAGAGGAGCAGTGTCTCAGTTCCTAAGGCCATCGGAAATATGTGTTTTCCGATGGTCTTAGGCAACCCCTGTGAAAGTGTCATTCGACCCCCAAAGGGGTCGCGACCCCCAGGTTGAGAACCGCTGCTCTAGAGCAAAGTTTTATTTTACACTTTTAATATAGTTATAACATGAAACGTTATCAAAGGTGAAATATGGTTTTAAAGGATTTGTATATTTTCAATGTTGTCCTCAAAACCGAATTAAAAGATCATTTCCCTAATGTATGGCTATTTTTATTTAAAAATTTATCAGCAAGATTTGCCTCCTATAAACTTAAGTAGAATTTGCCCCTAAGTTTGAGTTTCTATGTATGTTTTTTTGCAGACGTCGTTTTGCCTTTATATTGTTTGCTAGCATGTACAAGCAATAATTCTGCTGCTTACTGTATTACTGAATTTGTAATTATTGATATCTTAACAACCCTGTGAGTCATTTGTGATTTACTGTCTATTCTCTATTAAAAAATTGTTTGTAAACAACAAAAATAAGTTCAGAATTTGGTGAACCCTTGGCAAATAGAACCTGTGCAGATTCATCCTTCAATAGTAACTGCACAGGCTTTTTTTTGAAATGTTAATAGTTCAGTTTTTGCAGCAAGATTTTGGGATATTCATTCTGTTTTTTCCTGTCCAGACATTAACTTACATTCAAAGTTTTAGCAAAATACCAGTATGAATTCTACATTGAAAATAACAATCTCTGAAAGTTATTTTATTCATACTGATATATGGTGGCTTATCAGTTGTTTGGTAACCAGCAGGTTAATAAAGAGATTGTCACTAAACAAAGAATCCATACACTTACATATATAATAGCCCTGAAAAATATGGAACAACAAGCAATGAAAATGTGTAGGGTATTTTGAAAATGATTTTCAAGTAAACTTAATTTCAACCGCTATATTCAAATACAAGGTGTTCTCTGATTGGACTGGGTGGAGAGAAGGGGTGATGACATCACAATCTTCACCTTGCCCCATTAGAGATTGCCTTATATTAATTGAAAAAAAATGTTCCAGTTGTTCTATAACTGGCATCAGTGCCAAGTGAGTGACCCTCTGTGCTCAATGTGCAATGGGGAAACTGCTCACATAGAACTTGAGCAGGACCCAGAAGGTGGCAGCTATCACTGTAGTGCTGACTGCTACAATTATTTCCAGTTTTCACAATGAGTCATCAGATATGAGTAATTCATACGTACATTGTGCCAAGCTTAACCAATGTAAGTATGCAATTTGCTTAATTCCTGGAGTTCAGCTTTAATAATTTAGAAGATGGCACCCTTGAAAATCGGAATGACACAAACAGTAAAATTACATCAATTAAAGTCATGTCTTACCACAGGTATTGCCAACGCAAGCTGCTTCTTTGCTTCATAACAGAATCCAAAAGGTACCAGTTTTCGCAACAGTATGTCAATTCCACGAGGTTTGTCTGCTAGAGGAGAGGTCTCCTTGGCTTCCTTATTGTGTCTTGTCATAGTTTTGGGAGAGTCTCACTGATATGTTTAAACTTTTGTAGAACTACATTAGAGAATGAAAGGTCCACTGTGCAACACAGCACTGAGCATTTGAAATAGTTCACCTCTGTATATTTCATAGACTACACACAATGGGAGGAGAGCACACTGTAACCTGACCATCAAGTTATGTACAGTATATCAGTGATCTCTCTACTGAAAAGAAGAAAGAAAAGAAGAAAAAAAATTGATGGAACTACATTTTTTTTATCTAGGCATGTGTTTATTGTTAAAAAAAAGAACATTTTTATTTAGGTAAGTCTTTAATTATTTTCTACCACAGGTAAGCAAATACACAGCAGAGAAATACACAGCAGTATGTTTCCCTAGTAAAAACACACACAGCACACATAGTAAAACACACACAGCACAGATAGTAAAACACACACAGCACACAGTTAATCCTTTGATAGCCCCAGATGTTAACCCCTTCCTACCCAGTGTCATTAGTACAGTGTCAGTGCTTTTTATTAGCATTGATCACTGTATTAGTGTCACTAGGGATGTCAGTGGCAGTTAGTCAGTTCCCCCCCAGTGTCAGAATGCCTGCCGCAGTCCCACTATAAGTCGCTGATCGCCGCCATTACTAGTGTTACAAAACAAAAAAATTCCAGTATATATACCACCATTTGTAGATGTTATAACTTTCACGTAAACCAATTAATTTACATGTATTTGGATTTTTTTTAGCAAAGGCATGTAGCAAAACACATTTTGGTCTAAATGTATGAAGATATTAGATTTTTTTAATTTTTTTGCTGGATTTGTTTTATAGCAAAAAGTTAAAAATATAGTTTTTTTTTCAAAATTGTCTTTTTTGATTATAGCGCAAAAAATTAAAAATTCACAGGTGATCAAATACCACCGAAAAAGAGCTCTATTTGTGGGAAAAAAGGACATAAATTTAATTTATGTACAGCTCTGCATGACTGCGCAATTGTCAGTTAAAGTAATGCATCACTGTATCAGAAAAAAATGCACAACACTATGATGACTGTACGTAGAAAACTGGATCTCCAGAGCAGCCAGTCAGAGTTTCTGCTTCAGCTGCAGTCAAGGGGTCAGCATGACAATGGTAGCATTTGGAAAGATTTAGGAGGACTCATCTTAGAAGAGAGATGAGTATTAGGGGGGATGAACTACAGCAGCAACAAGGAAGACTGACAGACCTGTGTGCATCACCACTGAGACAAGGAATTTGCTCCGCTAGAGGGCAATTTAAAAATCCAAGCCTTTCAAATATTTCTTGAAATACAAATTTCAGCTTCCAAGACACTTAACCTCCTCATGCCTGGTACTAACAGACACTCTGTGACTTCTTTCTGATTCCTGACATCCTTTAGAATTTCAGGATGGGGATGTAGAACATGACCCATTCTTTACCAAACTTTTGTTTGCTGCCTGGACACCTAACACTTGATCATCACTGTATGCTGTATTCACTTGGCCATATGGGGTCACATCACAGCAAGCCACTGCTTTATATTTACTGCAAGGCCTTGCTCTCCAAGCCAGATCCATAAGCTGGCCCTGCTCTACAGCAGGTTCTAATATGGATAACAAGCCGAAAGGTAAGGGACATAAAGTACACCTGTCCTCCCATTGAACTTGTCCAATGCCACCTGTCACAGTCACCTGCTTTCATTTAGTATGGCTGCTATTTGTAATAATGTGTTCCAACCTTGAAGATTAAAATGTGCACGTCAAATGTACATAACCACAAGAGTTAATCCCCTTGTACAAATATCCTGTAGTAGCACAAGGCTGCTCAACCCAGAGGGTTGAATGGCTTAACTCCCAATATAAGATTCTTCTGATACACCAAGGTTACACTTATCCCATGTGGCACCACCCCCGAAGGAGCCACTTGGTTGAATGGAAATCACTGCAACCACAAATAAGAGCACAAATGGAAAATACCCCTACCTTTGTGAAATGCAAATAATCACACAGTTTAACCACTTGTCCTCCAGAAGATTTACCCCCCCCCCCTTTCCTAACCAAGCCACAAAAAAAGACCAAAAATTTTGAACCCCCCCCCCCCAATATCTTTTACATTCTGCTATAAAACATATCCAGTAAGAATATGTAGCAGAATACATATTGGCCTAAATTTAGATCAGCAACTTATAGCAGGACTGTGATATTGCAGTGGACAATCGGACACTAAGTAACACTAACTGGCACTTTGTGGGAACCAGTGACACTAAGTGTTAAGTGCTACAAATATGCACTGACACTGTACTAATGACACTGGCTGGGAAGGGGTTAAACATATAGGGTGATTAAGGGGTTAGCTGTGTGCCTAACTATGTATAATGTTAGCTATGTGTGCTGTTGTCACTAGGTAATGTGCTGTATTTTATTCCCTGCTTGCAGGAAAAGAGAATCCAGCACATTATCACTGACAGAACACAGCTTTGCCTTGTTTACATAGGCAGAGCTGTGTTCTGTCAGTTTCCTAGATGATTAGTGGGTGTCAGCATTCATTCATTGGCTGGCACCCACTGATCGGATTCTGCTGTGACCATCACAGCAGAAGTGGTGCGCTGGCAGCACGCATGCAAACCCAGCGACCAGGAAGTGCAGAATCACATTTATATAAGCAATTCTGCACAGCACAGCTACCCTATAGCAGTATATCTGTCACAGGGTGGTCGGCAAATGGCTAAAGTGAAACAATGTTTTGATTGTTTTGAAGTTGGAGTAAAAGTATTGCAAACACAAGAAACAACAGTAAGTGTGCACATACAGTAGATAGTCACTCTGGAAAACTTAGTCAAAGGGAACATATAGAGTACCACTTTAAATAGACCTAATTGTCCTGCACCTTGAAACATTAAATTCAGCACTGAATGCTACTGAATAATAAAATGCCGCAGGGGCTAAGTCATGTTGGTATTTTAGTAGTGAATGACATTCTTTAAAGTTTCAGCTGTCAGCGGGGTTCCGCTAAATGACCTCAACATTGGGGGGTCCTGCTTGTGCAGGTTTAGATACGTTTTTTTGGGGGGCTCCCCCTTCAACCTTTTCCCAAATGTTAATTGGGGGACATCCTTTACAAGCTGGAAATGGCCTGCATGAGGTACATGTGGGGCTCCTGCAGGTAGGTACACAAATACCAAGAGTCCTGCGTTCAACAATGGGGACACTCAACATAGGCCGCAGTGCTGAATGGGCTGTGTTCAAAGTGGAAAATGTGGTATTTTACTGAACTGAAGCAGCTGAAAACAACATCACTTTAACAAGGGGAAGCCTGGGTTATTGAACCCTGTCACCTGTCTGGACCTCCAGAATGAAATGACCCCCTCAGTTGGGGGGCCCCCAGTCCTTGGTCCCTGTGGGGCCACTCCTGATCCCACAATCTGCACCTGCCTGCCGGGGACTCTCCCCCCCCAAGCTCTCTCTTGTGACTTAGTGATGGGTCGAACACCCCCTGAGTTCATGGGTCTTCATGAACCCACAC